TTGTTAGGGCACGATGTCTTTGTGGTGCCCCTATTGTTATGCACGAGGTTGTTGGCATGCATCATATGGATATGGATATATTCCTTTAAGGTCTCCTACTCATATTTCTCTCTTGATTGAGTACATACGTATTATGGTACCACGTTGATGTGATTGATTATGCACATGTGGTCGAATAAGGGGGCATTTCATCGTTAATGCGCATGTGGCAGTATAAGGGTATCATACGTTGTCATGTTGAACTCATAATAAACTTGTCATTTGGAAATTTATATGAAATTGGTTTACTGTCTAGTATAAACCCTTACATCAAAGTAGAAGTATTTGAGTACAAATGACTTGGTGCATGTCTCCTTTACATGCAGAGCTTGTGCAACTGTATTGCTTTTGTGCAACTGTATTGGTTTTGATTTGTTTATCGAAAAAGCATTCTTAAAATCTCTTCTTTTATTGTGTACTTAAATTCTGATATTCGTTGATCCATGACCGTCTCTCTTGATATTTCTCTGTATCGTACATGTTATTGAGCTACAGGTTATGTAAAGTCACTGTCTTTGACTTAAAAACCTCGGCACTAATTCATCGAGGTTAGTCAAGATACTTACTGAGTACACGGGGTCGGTTGTACTCATACTACTCTTTTACTTCTTGTGTGCAGATTCTTGGAGCTGAGTTACTGTGGATGACGAAGGCTAGCACTAAAGTTGTAGTTGTGTTCCAGATTCAAGCTACAATTTGTTCATGATAGTTTAGGACTTTATTTTTGTTAATGTAAACTTCAAACAGATGTTGTATTTATTTTTTCCATCAGCTTTGTAATTCTAAATCGAAGTGGCTCATAACTTGTACTGCTAGTCCTTGGGATAGTTGTATTGAATTCGTTTGAAGTCTTTATTATTGATATTGATGATTTTTCATTATAGTTGGAATTTGTACTGTTTGGCTTACTTAGAGGGTTGGGTTAGGTGCCATCATAACTTGGTGGGATTTTTGGTTGTGACAAGTTGGTATCAGAGCTCTAGGTTTATAGGTTCCATGAGTCATGAGCAAAGGACTAGTAGAGTCTTTTGGATCGGCACATACTTATCTTTCAGATGCTACAGGACATCTAGGCAGCTTCCCATATTTCTTTCCTTATCGTGCCACTTTGATTCGGCTTGAAGCCTAAATCTCCAGGTGGATTATCTCTTGCGTGAAGGTGAGAGGTTGAGTGATCCTTATAAGGTTTCTATGAAGAGTATTCCTTCTATCTAGTGGGATTTATGTGCTATGATTAGAGTTTGGGTCACTTGAGGAGGTTCGTACGACTGTCGCAAGGATGAGTATGCACTTGGCGGATGATTTGGAAGGCATGATGAGTAGTGCAGCATGAGCCTACGAGGAGATTCAGTTGGATGGCAGTGTGAGATTATGGCAATTATGAAGAAAGAGTATGGTGGATTAGCAGATGATGTGTTTCGTGGCTTCGAGCCAGCCAAGTGGGGGAGTCTATTATCGACAAGCAGATCGCATGGTCATGTGTTATATCAGGAACTCCTGAAATCTTGTCAATACATTCATTCTATTTCTTGTTCTGTTTCAACAAATTTTCCTGCAAAGTTAATATAGAATTTTGCATTCCTGAAGTACCAGGTTTACCTAAATATCCAGTCCCTGAATCACCAGGTAATCCACATGTACGAGAGTTTCTGGGCACAAAATTTGGAGCACCAACAATTAGTTTTATTCTCGATGGGGAGTTAATGGTGTTCCGGCATTTACACTACTAGCTAAAGCCGTGCACACTTTTCCAATCTGATTGTTCCACGCATGCTACTGGGCTATATAGAACTCTTTATTGTCTTTTTTAATTTAGGTTGCTCTCTGTCCCTGCTAGGAGATCTCTCAGGGGAATTCTCCCTAGATGAGCGTGGTGAACTCCGGCACTGGTCATCCAGAATTCCTCCTGTTAGTAAGCTTTGGTCAACTTGTTGAGGTAGATCATTTGGTTGGTCATTGATTCTAGAAATTGTATTCCTTCTAATAACAACCAATAAGTGAGAAACAAAGGAAAATTAAAGAAGTTGTAGAAAGATCAATTACGTTTTGAAATGATTAGACAATTGCTTGGGCCCCACGGTGTGCACCAAATTATTTAACCAAAAATTTAGATTTTTGATGAATCAAGTAAATTTATTAAATTAGGGCCTCAAACTATATTAAACCGATTGTGTGAGTCTTATGTCTAGAAAAGATGTAATTGTATAAAAAATAAACAAGTAAATGATAAAAGCACATTAACCAGATTAAGTGAAAGTCGAGAAGAGAAAATTCTTTTTGATGATCCTTGACGGAAAGGAATTTGTTGAACAGTGTTGAAGAATAAGTAATTTCTGCATAGCAATAGTGCGCTAACTGTGTAGAATATGGAGCAAAATCAGAACAATTGTTACGGAAGGGGAGCATTTATAGTGTAAACCTAATATAATCGTCCCCTAAGATCACACATGTCTGTTATGAGCATTATTTGCTCATTTCGTATGTTATGCCTGGTGGATTTATAACTGCCAAAGAGTTAATGTAAAATCCCAAATATTCTAGAATCTGCTTATTTGAATATCATCTATATCCGGACAGTGGTGATTATCCAGATGCTCTCCTCCGGGCCGGGGTGACACTATCTGGTCCATCGTAGACAATTCGGGATGTACTTCCTCAATCGACCCTCCGATTCTTGAATCAAAATAGATTGATCCTGACTTGGAGCTAAGTAAGAAACATTTGTCACGTATTGATTATTGCGCTGGCAACGTGTTATGGCTGTATTTTACCAATACATATGTAATTCTAGGACATAAGAGTGAGCGCACAAACAAAAAATATATAAGGTAGAGATGCCACCGTAAACTAGAAGGAAAAAGTTATAATATGACGAAGATAAATAGGATAGAGAGTGGAGCTAAACAGAAAATAGGGTAAAAAAAGAAAGTAGAGTTACATTATTAAATAATAAGGGCACAATAGAAAAGAAAAATAAAGTAACAAGGCATCACAAAAAGTCGATCAATGATGATAGGCTATAATTGCATATTTTAGTCGCTTATTACACTCGAATTTACTGCACTTTAATTGAGTTTGCGCTTTAATCGCTAGTGTTTTGCACTAATTGTGTGTTTTATGCCTTGTAGGTGTGATTCCGAGCTATATAGATGTTATGGAATGAATTTAAGTGATTTGAAGCTTTGAAGTCTGAGTAAAAGCTCAAGGAATTAAGCCGGGATCGTGTTCGGGGGTCAAATTTGATAATTAAGTACGAACGAAGATTTGAGGAGGCATATTGCGCACTGTCTAGTAAAATAGACATAACTTTTTGCTCAGAACTCCATTTGGTCTCCACAATATATGGTTGGAAAGCTAACTCAAAGGGCTACAACTTTCATGTTTTACATTTTCCCAAATTCTAAACGGAACAGGGTGAAAAACCGCGGTTTTGCCGCGATCGCGGCAGAACCGCGGCAGAACCGCGGTGGAAGGCAGTTTCTGAAGAATGAAGAATCCGCGAGGGCGTTTGGCCGCGGTTCCACCGCGATCGCGGTGAAACCGCGGTGGGAAGCGTAAATTTCAGGGGCTAAAGTGTAAAACATGGGATTTTAAGTCCTAAACCCTATATAAAATAAGGGAGGCCGGCCTAGAACAAGAGAGGACATATTTTGGACACAAATTAGACCTAAGGAGGCGAGGAGACACTACTTTAGGGTTAGACAACACCCTTGGAGGCAAGAACACATTGGGAGCAAGGCGGAGAATTCTTCTACAAGTTTTTCCTTCCTCTTCCTATTTCTCATTATTGGTTATGACTTTTAGTATTGTAGTTTTACATACTATTATGAATAGCTAATTTGTTATCTAGAGTTTTGATAGAACCTTTTGTAGGATAAATTCTTGTTATGTTTTTATATAATTGAGCCATAGCTTTTCTCTATTTGTTCAACTACGTTTATATTGTGGTTGATTGAAGAGCGCTCAATTAGCTGTGCCTATTTAGTATGCATAACTCAGGAGAGAGTGCATATTTAGGTAATTGTTGAACAACACCACTCCCAGAGTATATGAGGGATCAATAACCGAGGGTTTAAAGGCGGGATTAGGGATAACGAAGCCTTGGGTGCAATCTGAAGTGAGATGTATTAAAAGCCAGCTAGCGTAGCTCGGAAGAGTGCGTCTAGTAAATTGTCGTAATTACTCGGGAGAGATTTACGGTAATAAGAGTGCTCATGATCGGTAGAGAATACTTAGGCGAAATTATAGAAGACATAGCGGGAAGGATTCCGACAATAGGGGAAATCATAACTCTAGACCTCCTTAATCTTTTCTCTAACCCTCAGTATCTTTAGTTGTTAATTTACTATTTTAATTTGTTAGTTAAGTAGTTAAACACAAGAATCTAATATCTATAGGTTAGGAATTGTTCAAGCTTGTCTTCTTGGTGATAGTGAACAGCTGTAGCTAAACCTTAGTTCTCTGTGGGATTCGACTCCGGACTTGTAAACCGGATTATATTTGCAACGACCGCATTGTCCTTTTTATAAGGCATAGTTGGGCGTGATCAATCAATACATAAAATGGATCTTTTCCTTGCTACGTAACGATGAATTTAATAATACTATATTAAAATTTAAGTAATAATTAAAACAAACATGGTATTTGAAAATAGATATGGTGATCCAACTCATTTTTTGCTATTGAAATAAGATCTAGGAGGTTTACCATCCATTTAAAAGGTATTATTTTCCAAACCCAAAAGACTAAGGGGTTAAATGAAACTTATAATGTATGGGCAAAAGCGAGAATAAACTTTCAAAGTGGTTTCATGAAGTACGTCGGTCCAATGCCTCATGCTTAGGTTCACAATGCTGTACGTGTCTAAGAAGGAAGTTTTCATGAGCTGTAGGAACTGTCGAAATCACCTCCTAAATATTCTCTTTTTAGTTGCAGCTGCACATAAGATTATTTGCCAATTTTTGAGGAAAAAATACTCTCTCAAAGGCATGGGTGATGAGCGAGGAAATAGGCTATGGGGATTTGGAGGAGTGTCTATTTGTGGTGCTACGGCCAAAGAAATTGAACAGTTGTCTAGAGACGGCAGCCATTACAGTCTCTCTACTGGAATTCTGCCTTCTCTCGGTGCTAGAACAACCAACCGCACAGTCAAGCTACGCAGATTCATCATTCATCCCAGTGATCACCATTATAGGTAAACTTTTCTGTCCTATGTAAATGAAGAAAAAAAGAGAGTAAAGAACTACGTTTATCTTCTTTCTAGAGAATATCGTTTGTCATCCAAAAAATGGCTTTAGTCTTCTCTGTTCTGATTTTTTTTATAAGTTATTCCATTCATTCTAATCTTTGCCACATTGCTGTACATAATGTCATTCTGATGAAGGCAAATTCTTGCACGGCTAAGTTTGTTTGACATCCTTGCTCATTCATCACTTTTAATCGACTCGACCGAATTTGTTTTTTCTTGAACGGCATAGACATTATTTAAATCTTTAAAAGACTTGCTTTTCCTGCGATTTGAAGTGTATTTGTAACTCTAATGACTCATTTGGTTGTTATTCAGGAATTACTATATCCTGGGATTGTTATCTCACCTTTAATATGAGTTACTTAATACCACCAACCCATGACCAAACACGGGATAAATACAACCCCAAATTCTATTCTGGGATTATAAACCTAATCTTGATAACCAACAAGGCAACAACCCCTAAGGATTTAGCCCCCATCAGTTTTCTGGAACTTTTCAGTGGATAAGTATCATGTCATCCCATATGTTTTCGATGCTTAGTTTCTGAGTATGTTTCTTCCGGGCAGCCATTTTCGTTCGGAAGATTTTCACTCTTTTTGCAGAATGTTAACTTTATTGTAGGACTTAAGTTATATATATCGAGATTTAACTAGCTACAGCAGGTTTACTTACCCTTTTACCATTATTCTGTAGTAATTATAGATAATTAACTATAATTATCTTGGTCAGATTTGAGTTATGTATACAAAGATATACACTATCGTTGTAATTTAACTAGCTGTAGCATGTACCTTTTTTCTAGGCTGCCTATGGAACTAATATTTTCGCGTGGACGGGGGACAACATGACGTTTGGCTGCTTATTCTTTAGTATAATGTCTATCCTTTCCATGAGAAGTAGTTCGAAGAGCTCAAAAATAAACGATCTTGCTCTTGAACCATACATAATAAAGGAAGAACTTAAACCTTTTCCCGAAAAAGATATGAAAGCGATCTTTTTCCAATAGCGAATTACATCAACGGTTGGTTCCTTACCCTATAATTACCATGGCTGTATGGGATCAGCAAAGTATCTTCATATATGTTTTATGTTGTGCTACTTCCAATAATTTGGCGTTTCCTTGTGTATGAAATAACATAAATATACGATACTGCTCCCTAAAATATCTGCTATACATATCTATCCTGCCTTAGACTAGTAAATCTGTTGTGGTGACTGAAAAAGGAAATTGGTTCTCTTTGATATCTAACATAATGCATGAACAGATCTTCAATAACCATAGGGTAACCTCAAAATCCTGAGGTGCATTGAGGCACTTAAATACAGAAAAGTCCAGCTCAAAATTGCATCAAGGCACTTGCATTAAATTAAGTTGTGAAATCCTCTCCAGTGTAACTGTCAATCTATCGCTTGAGCATACTCATTTCTATGTGCCAAGAAAATGGTAAGACAGATAAAGATGTATTCTCTCCGCCCATTTTATGTGAAATGGTTGATTGGGTACAGAGTTTAAGAAAGAACGATTTTTTGGAATATGTGGTCTAAATCATGACATGACATTTATCTGGCTATAAAATCACTTCATTAAAGATAAAATGAAAATTTTGAAGTTTAATTATTTCTATGTATAGAAATCTATCATTTTTTTTTTGTGCAAACAAAAAAGTAAGAAAATGCGTCACATAAATTGAGATAGAGGGAATAACACATAATTAAAGTAGGATGGTTAAGATGTAGTACTCTACGAGAGTGTAATGTGACAGAAGGATACTAGCAAAGTGGAAGAAAATTTATGTTGGAAGGTCATAATAGGCTAATGTTATATTGGAGTTTGTGTCTACGAGAGTGTTTTGTGATAAGAGGATATTAGCAAAGTGAAAGGAATGTTCTATGAAATGTCATAACACGATTAATGTTATATGGGAGTTTGTTGGGTCGCTAAGGCACAACATACCCACAAAATAAGTGTTGCAGAAATGCATATATTAAGATGAACACACGATCAATGATGTTTCTAGTAGGGCGAAGGCCAGAAAAAAGGCACAAATTGGGCACCGAAGTGAGTGCACAAAAAGAAGTGCTAGAACTATAGCTGTAAGGATGGTGCATTGCCTATTTACATTCTTGGTTGGGAGTCAAAATGAATACCCCTGCTATCTAATGAACTAAACCTTCGACCATACTGCATGTGAAAAAGAGTTACAAAATCATGTTTTTATTGGTTATAGACTGGTCCGAGAATTTCGAAGGAAAACACAAAGTGGTAGAGTGACAATCAATAGAGCAACCTGCGTAGTAATGAATGAAGGGGAGCTGTTTGAGCTTTCTCCTCTAGAGGCTTATATAGTGTCAGCCTTATAAAGCTCGATAAGTGTCACTTCCTCTTCCCTTCACTTATTAAGAGGAAACCCCCTATATACCAAAAGTGAAAATCCCTTGATTAGGTCTTGAATGAGACCGAAGGTAAATGAAAATGTAGAAATAAATATATCAACAGAAGGTGTAAGGAGCACACATAGAGGATGAAATGAGAGGATGTCATTAGAGATGGTTTTTGTCATGCCATGCATAAACCTGCAAATACACCGATCTGCAGATATGATGAAGCGAAGTGTTAGAAAGAGGATGAGATAAACCTAATATCATATGAAAGGAAGTTGTGTTAAAAGACCTACAAACCCTTGATGTCTATGAATCTTAAGAAAAATAGAATGCAATAGAAGCAAATAAGCCATATAGAGAATACTAACTAGTTGGAAATTTAGGCTTCATGCTAGTATGCTTACCTTACGTCTAGCATTTGTTAGGAATTTTTAGTCTCTTTAGAAATTTGTCTGTCAATGAAAAATTTAGCGAGGATTCACACGGTCAATCCCCACTAGCTTGAGATTAAGAAGTAATAGTAGTCATTTTTGTTATCATGCACCAGATTATCTGTTTCTCATTTTCCTTTTCTTTTTGCGGGTCTGGAAAGCAGACAAGCATATTGGAAACTGGAAACCAAAATTATGCATTTCGTTCTTAGTACACCTCTCAGCCATTCGCAGGGAAATACTAATTAGTAGTCTATTAGATGGAAAGGTATATGATCATGGAAAACAAGTTGGCTTTTACTTAACATCAGCTTATGTTAAAATAATGTTTGCAGGGCATGGCAGAGTTTTCTGGCTGCACTGGTCATCTATACAGCTTGGGTGTGTCCATTTGAGTTTGGCTTCCTTGAGAAACCAGAAAGACCACTGGCCATCGCTGATGATATTGTTAATGCATTCTTTGCAATTGATATCGTTCTCAACTTCTTTGTAGCTTACCGGGATAAAACCACATATGTATTAGTTGATAACCACAAAAGGATTGCTATGAAGTATGCAAGAACTTGGATGATTTGTGATGTCATATCAACAGTTCCTTCAGAACTTGCCAGGAAAATCCCGAAACTTTTTGGTGAATATGATTTATTCTATATGTTTCGTCTCTGGCGTTTACGAAGAGTTAGTGCCTTGTTTTCCAGGTAATTGCTTGGGCTTGAAAATGATAAATGTGTTTTATATCTCCTTTCCCCTCAAAGCTCAACCTGATCGTTTTTTTCTTTGAAACAGATTGGAGAAAGATAGGAATATCAATTACTATTGTGTCCGATGTGCAAAGCTTATATGTGTAAGTACATTTGACTGTTGTTGTGGTAGGAGATTGGTGTTTCTGATCAATGTTTCCTATTTGGTCTGTAGGTCACTCTATTTGCTGTTCACTGTGCTGGATGCTTTTATTATCTTATTGCAGCTCATTATCCAGACCCAAACAAGACATGGATTGGGGCATCTATGGATGACTTCCTTAATCAGAGTCTATGGAATCGTTATATCACTTCTATTTATTGGTCAATAACTACTCTTACTACAGTAGGTTATGGTGATCTGCATCCGGAGAATACACGGGAGATGATCTTTGATATTTTTTACATGTTTTTTAACTTGGGCCTCACAGCTTATCTAATAGGAAATATGACACTCTTGATTGTCCACGAGACAAGCAGGACTAGACAGTTTGTGAGTAAATTATATTATTTTGCATTTAACTATTTGATTTAGACAATGGAATTCACTAGCTTATGTGAATGTTTGTTGTGCTACAGAGAGACACAATTCAAGCTGCTTCGAATTTTGCACAGAGGAACCAATTGCCTGCTCGGCTCCAAGATCAGATGGTAGCACACTTGTGCTTGAAATACAGAACAGATTCAGAGGGAGTGCAACAGCAAGAGACACTTGATTCTCTTCCTAAAGCAATCCGCTCAAGCATTTCACATTATCTTTTCTACTCTCTAGTAGATGGGGTTTACTTGTTCCATGGCGTGTCAAATGATCTACTCTTCCAGCTGGTAACTACTTGTCATTGTTTTTATAACTACAAGCATGCATATCTTTTGATGTTTGATACTAGCTCCATAATTCAAGGTCTCAGAGATGAAGGCAGAGTATTTTCCTCCCAAAGAGGATGTCATTTTGCAGAATGAAGCACCAACTGACTTCTATATTTTAGTAACAGGAGATGTGGTAACTTTACTGTATCTCCTTTATGTATTCTGGATTTGACATGATGCTTTTTTGGGACATTAAATTCATCTGATTTGACAGGATCTATTGATACTTAAAAATGGAGCTGAACAGGTAAGTTGCAATTTTGAACATACACAATTTTATCTTCCTTTATTAATGGAACACAGTTAATGGCATGAAATTTCAGGTCATAGGGGAGGTCAAGGCTGGTGATCTTTGTGGTGAGATTGGCGTTCTTTGTTACAGGCCTCAGCTATTTACAGTACGAACAAAGAGCCTAACTCAGCTACTCAGAATGAACCGCACAACATTTTTGAACATTGTCCAGGCCAATGTTGGAGATGGGACCATAATCATGAATAATCTCCTGCAGGTATATATAAATGGTTCAAATTCTTTTCCATTTTTGGTAAATTTTCAATATGACTCCAATCCACTGAACAGCATCTGAAGGAGATGAAGGATCCAATTATGGAAGGAGTTCTGCAGGAGACAGAAAAAATGTTAGCTCGCGGTAGAATGGACCTTCCTCTCACACTCTGCTTTGCCACACTTAGAGGTGACAACTTGTTATTGCATCACTTGTTGAAGCGGGGTCTAGATCCAAATGAATCGGACAAAAATGGGAGATCAGCTTTGGTTTGTACACTATAGAGCTCTGTTTTATCCATGTTTAAATTCTTCAAGAATTAATTAATTCCTCATCTTTTCTTTCTCGTCAGCATATAGCAGCATCTAAAGGACTTGATAATTGTGTGCTTTTGCTATTGGATTTTGGGGCCAATCCAAACAATAGAGGTAGGTACACTCTCGTTCTAGCCAAACAACCATATGTGTTTTTATCCAAAATAATCACAAAAGTTACTGTCTGTCATGCAAACAGATTCAGAAGGGAATGTACCATTATGGGAGGCCATTTTAGGGAAGCATGATTCAGTGATGAAGCTACTCGTCAACAATGGTGCTAAACTTTCAGCTGGTGATGTGTGTCAATTTGCCTGCATTGCTGCTGAACAAAACAACTTGAATTTGCTCAAGAAAATTGTCCATTATGGTGGGGATATCACAAGTCCCAATATCAATGGATCATCAGCCCTGCATGTTGCGGTTTGTGAAGGAAACGTTGAAATAGTAAAATACCTCTTGGATCAGGGGGCTAATATTGACCAAGTAGACCAACATGGTTGGACCCCGAGGGACCTAGCAGTGCAGCAGGGACATGAAGATATCAAATTACTCTTTGAATCCAAGAAACTGACAACAACTCAAACTATCCCCGAGGAACATCCTCCGTCCGGAGTTCAGTTTCTTGGAAGATTCAAAAGCGAGCCAATGATAATGCCTCCTATGTTCCAAGGAGGCTCATTTCTAGCAGGAGATGGATCATGGGGCCGATCACGTCCTAGACGAAGGACTAATAACTTTCATAACTCATTATTCGGGCTAATGTCAGCTGTGCAGACCAATGGGCGTGATTTGTGCTTATCCAAAAACCAGGCTGCAACGGCAGTGACAACCAAGTCTTATAGTGCCAGAGTAACAGTGAGTTGCCCTGAGAAGGGAGATTTTGCAGGGAAGCTTGTCTTACTTCCACAGACCTTCCAAGAGCTACTTGAAATTGGTGCCACAAAGTACGGAATCTTGCAGGCCAGAGTTCTAAACAAAGATGGAGCTGAAATTGATGGCATAGAATTAATTAGAGATGGTGATTTATTAATCTTTGCTAGTGATGGAGGAGCCAATGAACATTGTTACCGTAGCGGTGGTGATTCTTGATATGGATATAGAAAATGCAAATGCGAACTTTCCATTTCCCATAATCAAATTCATGTTTGGTGCTGAATTTCTAACTTTTTTTTTTGTATGATCATCTAGTATCTGGATACTATTACACTGACTAATTCAACTTCGGGGAAGCATATAAGATGATTTCTCCATTTATAGAGCTCGAAACTGGGACATCTATGGAGAAATCTTATCTGGGGACGGACCTTTAATCAGGATTAAGGGGTTCAACCGAATCCGCAATGACGAAATTGTTTACTATTTACATATATAAATTCATAATGAGATTGGTTATATTAAAAAAATGAACCCTCATATTATATTGATGAGACATACCTTAGCGGTAAAATGGGTTAATTTTTGTGGAATAATTTGGCGCCGACGCATCTTTTTCCACTTTAGTTATTTTAGTGTAGCCATCTAAATTTTATTGGATTTAAATCCATAAAATTATTAAGATTATATTTTTAAATTCAAGATATATTAGTTTAAATAAATTTCTTAGGCTAATATAATTGGATTAATTCTATAAGTCCAATATATATGGATTAAATAAATGAGTCTTAATCCATTTGGCTAAAGTGGTGAGCCCACTACATTAAGCCCAATATGCCATCTTCCTAGAGGCCCAGTTTGGTGCCACGTGTCAGATGATATGGCGCGCCAAGTCAAACGGAAGAGCCAATAGGATCGTGCCACGTGTCAAAATGACAAGGCATGTCAAGTCACATTAAAATGCCAATGAAATCGTGCCATGTGTGCAAGTGACATGTTCTAGCCAATCAAATACGGCCATGTCACACTTCAGTTTGATTGGTCAAGAGTTTGTTCTTATCACAACTCCTCCCTTCCACAACTATAAATAGGCGTCTTCATAACTCAGAAAAGACACCAGAAGTTATAACAAGAAGCAAGAGAGAGCTCGTGGATCAAACATCGCAAATTTCTCTACAAGTTTCAAGCTTCAAGCAATCAAGTTCAAGCTCAAGAACGAAGAACAAATCAAGTTCAAGCTCAAGAACGAAGAACAAATCAAGGTTCAAGGAGTGCGAGTTCAAATCAAAGTTCGTACTAGCTGAATTCAAGATCATCGTTCGTGGCAACAAACATAGATTCAAGATCAAGCTCAAAGGCCCTTGAATTTATTTACTATTGGAAAGAAGAATCAGAGGATTCATAGAGATTGTACACACAAATATTAAAAATAAAATACCACAATTGTTAGAATATTTTTCGGTCTTGATTTTATTTTCTCGACGCAAATTTATTGTCTACATTTAGGCCACGAAGTGTGGGTCCAAACATTAATAAAGACGAGTTTAGTTCTAGAATCCCGGTGAATATATTCCTATTGAGTTTTTTTTTGGTTGCAAATATTCCTATTGAGAATTACAATGGAATTGTTATAATATATATAGAGTACTTCTTATTTTACATAGTTTAAATTCTTTTGTAATTTATAAAGTATGTGTATCTCTTTTCTTGTACTTTGTACATGAGGGTTAGATTAACTTATTTTTATTTACTTATTTATTGTTTTAGTTAAAAATTGTTCGTTTTTGTTTTCTTTATATTTTATTTATGGTGTTTCAAAATTGCAACATTGTTCTTAGGTAATTATAAGAATAAAACAGCAACAACAATAACCCAGTAAAATTTCCAAAAGTGGAGTCTGGGGAGGGTAGTGTGTACGCAGACCTTACCCCTACCCAATGGGGCAGAGATGTTGTTTCTGATAGACCCTCGGCTCAGGAAGACGGAAATAAAACAAGAAGAGACAATTCATCAGTTACGTCAGCAGAAACCGTAGAAATAGTTACAGAAGCATAAAAATCAAAAATAGATGACATGCAATAACAGTAACCAGTAATTAAGGCACGGGGCTATGAAAAACAGAAAGGATAGTGTGGACTCAGCATTAACCACAAGCCGTCCAATATCAACCCAATCCAACCCTGCCTCACCCCCGGTATGAAGTATGAAAAGCTCGACTACCCCCCTAGCCTACATGTTACGATCCAAACTGATGGGCCGCGACAGGCACACGGTACCTTACACAACCGAGTACCAACATAACGTATCTTTCATATCATTCTATCATAGGTAAATGAATCGAAGTAAAGCATGAGAAAATACAAACTTATACATATGAAGTACGGGCCTATAAGGCTGACATAATTCTTTATATACTCGAAACATAGGCCGACAAGGCCATACAAGTATCCATATACATGACATCTGTCTACAAGTCTCTAGGAATACATAATATCATAAAGGTCGGGACAGGGTCCCGCCATACCAATTAATACATGTACTAATCATACTGACCAAAGAAGCAACTCCGGAGCAAATAGAGCGCACCAATACCTTCAGCTGAGCTGATAGAGTACTTGGAAGACTCTCGACCTGTCTATCAGGACCTGCAGGCATGAAATGTAGCATCCCCAAGCAAAAGGGATGTCAGTACAAATAATGTACCGAGTATGTAAGGAATAAAAATCAGTAACTAGTAGACATGAGAGAAACATGGAGTAAAAGACTCAACATGTATATCTGAATAACTCAGTGAATCATTTAACATTATAATGTCGTGTATATGCGTATAAATGTCATACCATGCATGAGTATTTGCGTTCATAACATCATCAAGCCTCTGAGGGCATCCCATCATATCATCTCGACCACTATGGGCAAATCATCAACGTATACCAGCTGATCAGGTGGTGGTGCGTATATAACGCCGTAACCTTTTCACATATCCCAATATATATATATATATATATATATATATATATATATATATATATATATAACGCCGTCTAGTCATTGGTCAATGTACATGTATAAATGAATGTGATGCATGAGAAGTACGTCAATAAAATCTCTCGGAACGTCATAAGACCATATATCTCTGATTAATATCATAAAACAAACCTTATTAACTTACGTATTTTCTAAGACCCATGTAACAAACGATAGAATAATAAGACACATGGGAATTCAAGAACATAGACATTTCTAATACTTCTATAAATATAGTCATTTGCTCGTTTCATTCGTGTCATATAGATCATGCCAAAAAGAAAGAAGGGATAGCCTTAACATACCTGGGTTGATTCTCGTGACAATCTCTCTAACACACGTTAATTGCGTCGAAACACGTGACGGCAAGATCGGAGTAGGGACAACCCGTATGATATTCTTAAGAAAGAATACACCGTACTCCCTTATAATTGCAAAATCTCATGTTACTTAAAAGATTCCATGAAATCATGTTGAATTTGTTGAAAATGCTAAACTTCCCCATGTTACCAAGTTAGAGAGGTCTTATGTTTGAATTGAATTGTTGAAGACTAACGTTCTGATTAATGACTTCTTTTAAGTCTTATGATGCCTTAAGATGTGCCCCACTTTAGGAATAATTTGGCCAAAATATTTCTTAATATGACACCTATCTTGAATGACTAAGGAGTAATTTATAAGAGTAGGAGGGGGCTGCCACGTTTTGGCTTAAACCTTATCCAAGATTTTGATTTAATTAATCATTAATTCATTAATTAGTTGTTAATCTCCCACTAAAATCAATGATTACCCGGTTATCCACATAATAAAAAATTATCTCAAATTACTTGAAATACTACTCACATTTAACACACCTTATACACCTTACTATCATGGCCATGTGGTACCTTGTATGGCACTAGTCCATAGATACCGAGTATTTTAGCTCGGGCCGTATTTTATCCCAACATGTCAAACTTGGACGAAAATTCATTTTCTTTGACTTGCTTCACCTCTCACCTTCACGAATTTACTCATCACTTGCTTGAAATAGCATAATGCTTATAATCTCCAAATAATCTTGTCCTTGAACTGAGGTCAATTATCTTACAACAATTTCACGTATAATACTATAGGGTGTAACATCGTCATAATATAATACTGCGAAGCGTAACATCATCGTAATGTAATACTGCAAGGCGTAACATCATTATAATATAATACTGCAGGACGTAATATTGACGTAATATTGCGGGGCGTAACATCATTCCCCCCTTTGGAACATTCGTCCTCGAATGTTGACTGATGCTCTTATATTTTCATAACTTATAGCTCTTGTGAATACCTTAATACTCTCCTTGCCATTTAAGCAATTGTTCTGTGAATAAATCCAAAGGCCAGGGCATTCCTCCTTTTAGGCCTCTTTCTCACGCCACGACTTGTTGCCGGAATTCTTCCAATCTCGTAACTGTTGCTACCTTCTTTTATGCAGCATGTACGATTCTGACCTTGTAAGTGCGCCTATGCGACTCTTCTCTCCTTTTTCCTCCAACGTTTAGCCAATCTATAGGCCTTACTTTGTGAACATATACAGAGCTTGATAAGATGTCCCTCTGGGCATCTATAGGTATACTGAAGTTCTTCGCTCGGTACTTTGTTGAACTTACGAATATTGCTATGCCTTATTCCATGGATCCGTTTATCCATCTGTATGATTTTACTGCATCAAAATAGGTCATACTATACTGTAACTCTTACTTTGATTTATCGTTACTGAGGTCTGCTAGCAAATTCCATCTTACTCTCGTTGCTTATCCTATATGTATAAGTCTAAGTCCTTTAATGCTTCCTCATTACTGTTCATCTTAAGAGTGACGACCTAATCTCATTTCATACTTTGTAACTTTTATCCATCCATTGTTGATTCACCTCAATATCGATCTACAATCCACCACTGATAACTAAAACCTCTTACATAATATTTTGCCACTAGCGCTTACGTTGCATCGACAAATACTTGAAGTGATTTCCATAATCGTATTTCATAGTATCTCAATGTGATTTACCTTATGGGGTATTCTAATCTCGTGCTGTCCGCAAAATCTTTTCTCCTCCTCCCTTTTTTTTCTTCAAATCATTATTCAATCAATGGCGCAAACGTCATCTTTTATCTGTCACAATTATAACCTCATTTTATTACCAGGTCAGCATTCCATTTCTTCTAAATGCTACTAGTCATAGACTCATTTGAGATAATTCATGC